AAATATTTTTCCTGTAAAGAATGCGACCAAATCTACTGACTCTTCAATTTTCAGAATTCTTGACACATTCTTTTGATCGTGAAAAATCGCTGAAGTGGAGGTACTTTTCCCGTTCGCCTGCACGTGGTAGAGCAGCGAAAATGGACAATGGGATAAATTGGCACGGCGTTTATATCATGGTCTAATTTTTTATTTTTTTTACAATATTTTTCCTGGCAAGACCACGACCAAATCCACAGGCCCTGAGAATTTCAGATTTTATGAGTCATGTTTCTGAGCGCAAAAAGTCTTGGAAGTTGGGGTATTTTTCCAGTTGGCCCTGGTAGAGTGGCAAAAATGGAAGGGTATTTTTCCAGTTGGCCCTCACGTGGTAGAGTGGCAAAAATGGAAAATGTGAGGAATCGGCGCGGCATTTATTTCATGGTGCATTTTTTTATTTTTTTTTTCCTGATTTTTTCTGTGAAAGATCACAATACAAGATCTCATTTTTTTCAGACCTTTTGGTTAATTCTTCCAGCAGTAAAAATCGTCAAAGTTGGCGCTTGAAAATTGCAGGATTGGACCCGCCTGCACCTGCTGGTCGCCACCCCCCGTAAGAAACCGGTCCGTCAGAACAATTGGACCCGCCTGCACCTGCTGGTTGCCACCTCCCGTAAGAACCCGGTCCGTAAGGTCAGGAAGGCCGAATTTAGGCCGGCGGGGGGAGTGGTGGTTTAAACCACCAGTACCTTTCGCAGCTATTTTTCAGAGATGTGGCCGCAGTTGTTGATAAATTTCATGGCCTACCATTGTCGTGTTTCGGACCCCCAAAACAGTGGTCGATGTATGGCGAGGAACTGGTGAAATTTAAATAGCAGCACAAGATCGAGCAGCCTAAGGTACACATGAACACCTTGGCAGCACACAAACACATGCGCTCTTTGGCGCACGGCGCAGAAGATATGCGCAGAAGATATGCACAGATGATATGCGCAGAAGAAATACGCAGAAGAAATACGAAGAGAGGAGCAGGCAAGATCATTAAATCGGACAAAAGAGAGACATCCCTTCCGAATGCACATCATTGCCCTGTCAAGATAGATAACCAGTTTAGTGAAAAAAATACTATAACTAATAAATTATATAATAAATTATTAAACTATATGATTTAATGAAGGGATAATTTGCAAAATACCCCCATAAGTTGAGTTATATGCCGAAACGCCCCTGAAAGATATGGGTAGAGCACAATGCCCTTTTGGGCCGAAATCTTTCCGTTGTGCCCCTGTCAGGCGGTTGTGCAACTTTGCAATCTGGACCTCCCCGTTTGGGCCTTGGCCTTATGCAATAGCGCCTAGGAAAAGTTCGCAAGCACTGGGGCGTTTCACGAAGTTGGACGGTACCCGGTAGGGGTATATTGCAAAGATGGGGGTCCACCGGCGCTAGGGGCATTTCACAAAATATTTTTTGCATCAGGAGAGGCATTCCGCTCTACCCACGTCTTTTAGGGGCATTTTGGCATATATCTCACTTATGGGGTTATTTTGCAAACTATCCGTTTTGATGAAATGCATATATCGTCAACTATACACTAGGAGTAGTGGACCTACAAGTGGTAGGTAGCTAGTGAAAGGTGGAATTGAGAGAAGAATATAGATTAGTTTCTTTAATCTGAAGGGAGAAAAAAAAAAGAAAAAAAAAAACTACAGTAGTATACGAGGGGGAGTATCGTGAACGTATCCAGGAAAAATGGGAAGTCGAAAAAACGATATCGAAGATTACAAACCTCAAGGAGATGGAACCTACTAGGGCTCGGGGGCGAACTAGCAAAGAGGGTTGTTGGCTTGATCGCCTGAACATGGACGTGCTTGTGGAGAGGTGCAGAAAATCGCAATCGATCTGCTTTTCTGCACCTCGGCGTAAAACATGTCCACATTCAAGATCTCAACAGCACATCTCCACGCACGTTCATCAGTTTGCATTATCAGCGATAATGGCCATACGTACGTCCCCTTACGTGTGCATAAAATATTATTCGAGCGAAGATCGTGGAAGAAAGAAAGGGAAGATTCAACAGCACCGTCAGTCAGTGCATGAGAACAGAATCCCCCCGTTTTTTTTTTTGTGTGTGTGTGTGTTTTCAATACCGAACAAGATGGTCTTCGTCAACCGTA